GATTTTTGGTTTATTTTTCAGGTCATATGTATCGTGATCACAGCTTTATTACAGTATCTGTTTTTATTGATTTTCTTCCTGATGCTGGCCCTTGGGTTGTACTATTTTAGTAGCATCTCTTTAGTCAAAATATCGTTTTCCAAAGCAACAACATTTCAAAGTAAAGTCAATTTCTTCAATAAAATCGTTTGGGGAATTGTTGGTGGTGAGTAAAAAAGACATTTTAATGAAATTGTTCATGAAAAGTTTTTGAACTGTAAACATCAGGATAAAAACCTCGCTATATTTCAGTTTTACCAGTATCTATAACCGCAGCAACCATTGGAGTTGTATTTTCCTTGAACAAAGACTACCATTCAAAATCGAGGTTAACATAGCATTTATATCCTTAAAAGTATTATTACTAATTTGGTATACGATTTCATAAGACATTTAAAGCAATTGCATCGATAGTGTTTTTAGGTTTTTCTTTACAGTTGCTGGTTATCATTTGATAGTGGAGCTTTGTACGGCTTTATTGGACCCGTAGCTTGTATTGTCCTGGTAAAATATAAAGATTACCAATCATAAAACAATAAAGCTTATATTTTGTCAAAGACATTCTACCAAAAAATACTATAGTAAATTATAGTTTGCTATAGTTAAATATAGTTAACTTAAGAAAATTTATGTGTCATAGTTATCAAAATAGTAAATCAAAGCGTCAAAGCGATCACTATAGTGTCTTTACTACTATAGTGTCTTTACTACTATAGTAAAGCACAGTTTTAAAAGTTATAACTCCGAAAACCAAATTTTCCATAGTGATCACTGTGAAAAATCAGTTTTCACAGTGACAACTTCAGCAAATCAAGGTATCAAAGTTATCACTATTGTAAATCCAAGTGTCAAAGTTATAACTCTAGTAAACTAGAGTTAACTTAAGTAGATTATAGTTAATTATGGTATTTTGTCAGGGAAAGTCTACCGTACTAACAGAGGGTAAAGCAAATAAAACTTATTTTATTTTCTACTTATTGCAGATCAATATTGGTATTGTTATTATCCTCGCAGTGACTCTTTGCTCCATGGGATACTCACCACAGGATAAGAGGAACAACAGGATATTGTAAGTCAGTTTGGATTTTTAGTTTTACTCAGGTGACCTATTGCTATCTATTGGCGTCCGTCGTGCGCCGTGCGTTAACATTTGAACATTTTCAGCTTCCTCTCTGCAACCACTCAATCAATTTCTACCAAATTTGCCACAAAGCATTTATGGATGAAGGGGAACAAAAATTGTGAATTTCATGGTCCCCGCCCCCCTGGGGCCTGAGGGGTGGGGCAAAATCCTGTTAAATTAATGAAATCTTTAAAAATCTTCTTCTTTACTCCTGGACCACAAGCAATCAAACTGTTTGCATGATTGTAATCAGCATTGAGTCCTCTACCAAAATTGTGAAATTATGCCCCTTGATCAGGTGTTTTGTGCTAGGGCAGGGCTAAATTTATTTTATAGTGAAAATGCATATATTCTTTGAGAATCTTCTTCTCTGCTCATGGGCATTAAAGAAACTAACAAAGTACATAGTTATGTTGAATAAGGTGGCCTCTACCAAAATTGTGAAATTCATGGCCCCAGGGTCAGGGGTTCTAGTGCTAGGGCGGGGCAAAATTGATTACATAGTGAAAATGCATATATTCTTTGAGAATCTTCTTCTCTGCTCATGGGCATTAAATAAAGTAACCAAATACATAGTAATGTTGAATAAGGTGGCCTCTACCAAAATTGTGAATTTCAGAGCCCCTGAGTCAGGGGTTCTTGTTTTAGGGTGGGGCTCTAATGATTATATAGTGAAATTCATGAATTCTTTGAACATCTTATCCTTTGCTCCTGGTTAATATGCTAATGATCTAATTACATATTTTAGGCCAGGATTTATTTTATTTTCAGTTTTACAAACCCTCCGCTCAAGGTTTTGAATTTTCGGGAAAAAAATAATTTTTTCGGATTTCAAATTTGAGTCGGGATCGAGATTTCAAATTTACGAACTCGCACTTCCGGTTTAAGATGAAACGGCGGGTAAATAAAGCTAGAATGCCTAGATCTGCGAAGATAGCTTGGTTTAGTGTAAAATTCATCGATAAGAGTGCCATTCAAAGCGTTTCACCCGTTCAAAGGACAAATAAAATACTGACGACTTTGTTGCACAATGACATGCTGGTGAGATAATTATGTATTCGTTTCAAAATTATCTGTCTGTAAATTATTTTCCTCCCACAGGTGTTAAATTGCCCATGGTAGCTATTGCATATTGCCAGCGACATTGTTTAGGCCTCTGTTACAGTATAAGCATTATTCTTCAGAAAAGGTTTGCTCATGCATCAGATGTAATGAATAAGACTATGGGAGAAGTTAAGTCTATTTAAGGAAGAAATAAACAGTAACTTGAAGAAATAAACAACTATTAAAAAAGCAGGAACATATACATGTATATACAAATACAAATATACAAATATATACAGGCATGTAGTATCATTTGTATCAGCCAGAAAAATTATTTTACACTTAATTGAAAAAAAATGTTCATCCTACTCCGCAATACCCCCTGTCTGTTTTATGATAGGAATTATAATTTTAGGCATCAAGTATATTTTAGAACAATGTCTACACATTCACCTAACACATATAAAAAAATGAAGATATATTGAAAGACTTTTAAAGAATTGATTTTTTAAAATATATTTTGATCAACATCACAAAATTTATATAACTGGCCCAAACTGGCAGATGATGAAATAAGGAATTAAATGTTCTACTTTCCTATTTGTAAGCATTATGTGTCCAGTGGTAAGGAGCCTATTAGGATAGCATAAAAAAGAATGTACAAATGTTGATAATTGATTTATCAAAAAAAAAAAAAAAATAATTTCCTTCTGCCTCAGGACTTTTTCATTCTCGTGTTCATAACTAAACCAAAAAATAAAAAAAAAATGCTGGTCTTATGATGAATAAAGGGGCCTCTTTCAAAATAGATAATTTCAGGGCTGCTGGGTCAGCGGTACCAGGAGGGTACTTTGACTAAAAATAAATTAATGCTTTGAAATCTGCTCTTTGATAAGCAATGGTGCCTCTTTCAAAATTTGTGAATTTCATGGCTTTTGAATTAAAACTCGAACCAAATGCAATCGCTGGAAAAATGTTATATGATACTCAGGTGACCTATAAGGCCCGTGTAGATTTCCTTAATTCATTTGAACTTAAAAAAATGGTCGAAAATGTTTTCTTTAAGGTATAATTCTTCTATGGTTTCTGCGAAGATGAAATATTCAAAGTACATGCTTATATGCCTTATATATTTAGGTGTAAGAGATTTTAAAGAGCATATTATTTTACTCATCACAATTGTACAACTTTTACTAGAAATCATAAACCGCGTCTGAAAACTAGCAGGGACTATATTTTTGGCGGAATGGTGGCGTATGAAAATTTCTTCCTTTCTGCCCCTCAAATTATTATAGAGTGATGAATTTAGTTATCATTTTTACACAATCAAAGAATTGAAGAAATTTTAAAATGTAAGTTAAATCAATAATGAGGGACGGAAGTATGATTTTACAAACAAATTAGAACTTTGTTAGCTTTTAAAAGTCTCTAACCTAAGTACAGTAAAAAGTATTTTTTCTCTTTTATTAAGCGATCAAATCGTTTTGTATCTTCATGTGACAACTTGACCAAATTTGAAAATGAGAAAAAAAAATAATATAAGAAGCATGTAAAAATATTACATTATAATACATTCTCAAATATAAGAAAAATTGAAGAACTTTTTTTTCAGAGCAGGAATAAAGTCCATCTGTACCCTGTTACCTGTTCTGGGTGTCACGTGGTTGTTTGGCCTCTTGTCCATTAATGAGGATGTGATCGTCTTTCAGTATATATTTGCTTTATTAAACTCCTTTCAGGTATCTATTCAGTTTCAATTATTAGTGTTTAATCTATGCATCGTCTTTCTATGAGAAATGCTTTATATAATACTTTTATGTGTTTTTCTTTTAAGGGGCTTTTCATTTTCATCTCAAAATGCCTTCTTAGCAAAAAGGTAGGGGCAATGATCAACAAACCTATGTTCTTTTTTTCCTTGTTACTCAAATTTTAGCAAGAATAGGTAAAGAAAATCAGTTTTTATAAAGACACAAGCATGTTTATAATTTAGAAGATGTCGACTTGAATCTGCTTTTGGATTTTTATCTCTTATTTAAAATGGATTTAATTGATTGATGTGTAAAAATCGTGTTTATGTAATGCTACAGATCAGAAAGTTACTTAGTGAAAGTATCCACAGAAATGATTCAGAAAGTTGGAGAGGTAGACTTTATTCATTACTGAGCAGTAATCAGCTCTCTGTGAACACGAAGGAGTTTTCATCACTCTCTAAAGTGAGTTTCATCATATGTATACATTAGCAAAACAAAAATGTCGGTGAAAGTTTATTTTCTCAAAGAAATGAGAAGCATTTTTAGTCATTTGAGAGTAACGTGTAAAAAACTAAAAAACTAACATGGCTTTTCTTGACATTCTACACGATAAACTGTTATATATCGATTTTTTTGTGTTGAAATATACAATTATATTTTTTTCTTTTTGATTGATTTTGAAACTGGGAGGTATATTACAGAAAACAAATTGAAATATATGTCATCTCGGTAAATCTTCGCCACTTTGAAACTGATTTAATTGAGAAATTTGATATTTCCAGGGAATTTCCTTCAAAGGCAGCTATAGAAACAACACAGCCCTGTGAACGTGCTTGGCAAAAGAACAAGATCTATGATTTCATGAACATAAAAATATCACCTGTCACGATAAAAGCTTTAAAAACTGAGTTTTCTCTGTTAGAGACTTAGTTAATATACTATTGTTCTATTTGATACATAACTTTGTTTTTTCATAAATTTCAAAAAGTCATTATTTGATTGAGACAACATTTCTATTTTTTTCAATCCTTTAAATTGATGTTGCCTATTTTCAACCGTGTTTGTAAGAAATGAAAAATTTGATGAAATCAAAAATCATCGATCTCAAAACTTCTATTACTATACAAATATGAGAACAAAATTGTAAAACATGGAACCATGAAGATAGGATAAGATGTTTAGGAGGTTAGAGAATCCCCTGATGACAGATCACAACCCCCCTAAGCGCTATGTATTGAGCATGTATTTACAAAATGTACGGGACATCTAGTAGTAAAGGATTCGAATAAATATAATGTCTAACAATTTAATCAGTTTTGAATTACAACGCAACTTGAATATGTATATATTTTATACAGCTCTTTCCAAATAATTGTTAATGCTTACTATAATTAGACGAATTTTCCAATCTACCTAAATAAATCGAAAATAATTTTAACGTGCAGATAAAGAATGCTTCATTACATCCAGATAACTTGTAATTAAAACTTTCAGATTTACTTTACTTGTTGACAATATCATCAATACTTACATAACATGTAAATCAAATATGAAAACTGCAATCAGTATTCAATTTCGAAGGTTAAAGTAAAGGATCAAAGCAAATAAGACATTCTAAAACATTAGAGGTGGGATCTCGTGCTGGCAAGTCACACCCACCGTGTGCTTCTTGTTTTAATAGGCAAAACGAAAATAATATCTAGAAAATTCAATATGAAAAAAAGATCTAACAATCAGTATAAATATTACTTTGGTTAGCATTTGATTTATTGATAGATTTTATTTCCTGACACGATTATTGTAAAGGCCATCTTAATTAATTGTTGAATGCTAACTTCAAGCGAGACTCTTAATATTCTTATTCCGTATGCCTGTATGTGAAAAGCTGAATGAAAGCAAGAGGTATTTACTTTTGCTTCAGGTGAAATCACAGGAAAAATGAAAAGTTATAAAACAATGCATAATTCTCAAGTATATTGATTTTATTTATTTAAAGATATTTAAATTCTCTTGTGAGTTTTCAAGAATCAGAATCGTTGCATTCGAAAGGAGGGATTTTAGCAGTTACAATTGGATAGTAATTTTTCCGAAGAAGTTTGATTTTCTGTGGTGTCCACTGAAAGTTGCTGTCAGGACATCTTCTGAATTCTTCGACTGTTTCATCCAAAATCTGATCATATGTTCTAAACAATAAAAATATTACAAATTCAGAAGCATTTTCGCTTAGATGTTTTTGGGAAAACATTTATCCCAAAAATAAAAAGCTCATATTAGAAACATTGAATTCATAATCCTTCATTTTGTCATTAATGAAAAATTGTCTGCTCTTTCCATGCAACATTTTTCCATTCACAAGAGTTCAATGATTCAACAAGAAGTCAAATGACAAAGGACTTACAATAATCATTAGCAACAAATGCTCCTCTAAAATAATACGTTATCATTCATTTTAATATTCTGTTCAGTTGTCCATCTTTTCCGTGTCATTTACAATGAAAAATACAGTAAAAACAAACGAGCTCAAAAAATCTATTCAAACAACACAAATTTGAAGCTTGCCCAAGCTTTTCGACTGACACCACTGATTTAGGTAAATACTCAGCTGTGATTTTTGTCAGAGATTGACTCTTCCAAATCCACTATATTTAATATTACATGGCAATATAACTTTAAAAGTTTTTTGAAGTTAGGCTTTGTTATCGTTTGGCATAAAATAACTGTATTAATATCTTTTTTCAATTTTTAAGTTTTTAGGTAAATGGATGGTTAAGTTTAGATTTTTTCCCTAAAAGATAAAAATTATTAAATTACTGAAACGCTTTAACACATTCTTATAATAAACGTGCGGCTTAAACTTACGTGCAGAAAGATTCTTTGGACACATCCGTTGTGATTTCGTGGTCCACGACAGATTTCATCAGGGGTCGCAATATCTTTGAGTAGTTATCAAGTTTCAAGTATATACTGTTAAGACATGGTCGCAAGTCTTGCATCACTGCAACGAAAGAGGGAGAATTTTATCAACCATCGCTGCAATAGAGGAAAATAAAATTCTTGGGAAAAAAATCTGTCTCATCATGACCAAAAACTTACTTGGGTATATAGGATTTATACAAAGGCTTGTTTCTGGGGTTGTAAAAATGGCAAGATAATCTCTCTCGTATGCACATTCTGGGTCGTTGCCAAGTTCTTCTCCACAATCAAGGAGTTCCTGAGTGTATCTTTCAATAATGCCGGGTAAATGATAATTATTAGGTCATGAATCAAAGTATTTATTAATAGAAAAATGAGATATCCATGAATGAAAAAACACGACATTTTTGAACGATGACTTTATCAAGAAGTCGAATTGACTACTGATAAAAGATGTGAAGAAATCAAATAATTCTTCATAATATGTAAAAACTGCTGCCCGGTAAAATTCATATTCTGTCCTGCATGTTTCAGTTCAGTAATATTTTATTTTCATTTGTGGTAAAAGAAAAAGAAAGAAATTCATACATCAGAGAAACAGTTTGAAATTAAAAATGTCCCATCAGAAAGGAAAAGAAGAGATGTCATGAGAATTTGGAAAAAAGTAAAGATATATGTATATTAAAATACGTTGAAAGTATATACTAAAAACAGTTTAGCGACATCTTGCAACAGGTCAAGGTACATCTTCTATGTATAATTTATTTAGATCCTTATTTAGGTAAGGAAAGTATACAGTTTACCTATATAATTCTGAATTACAAAAAATTAAAAATGGTTACAAGGAAGAAAAATGTGTGGCTAGACTACTGTCCACAAATACGCTATTGATATAAATAGTATTTCTTGTCACTGGTCTATGGATATGATCAAAATAATTATCCTGAAAATTATTTTTATCTAAACGCTTACTTGCAATAACTGGTGAAAAAATTTTCTCCCAGGAAAAATTTCCCTTCCTCGTCCGTATTGTCTAATGTCGTTTTAGGATACGAAAATAAATCCAGACAGCTTTTCTCCACGAAGGTAACGTTTGTGTATTCAGAATTGTCGTTATCTCGTCTCATCAAAACATTACCTACACGTTTTATTGTGAACAATAGTAACACAGTTTTAAAAAATATTTCTAACGTTTAGTCTTAATTGATATTTTAAAGACTAATATCACGTAACGTGTGTCTAGAAAAAAAAATCTGTGAGTGTCTTAAGTGTCTTTTTGTTGTTTTGTTCTCATTTAATTATTTCTTTATTCTTTGAGCAACTGAATTTATATTGTCTTTGTCAGGTGGCAATAAATTTTAAAAAATGAAAATATTGTTATTTTATAGAACACAACATTAAAAAGTATCTTTGGATATATTTGATAAACTTTGCTTTTAAATTATATAGACTAACCCATGGTGGGCTGGAAATATGTCGTGGTAATAAAAATCAAGAAAAGAGAACTAACAAATATTCCACACTGCATCCTGTGCATCTTGACCATTCTCTCAAAACAACGTGGGAATAGGCACTGTAAACTTCATATATAAACAGTCAATGTATATATTATGCTTGATTTAACGAAGAAAATTTCTCCATCCCACACATGTAAAAGAGATGATTATCCTCTTTAAGTGATATTTATGAAAAGTTCAAAATATTAAAAACCATCCATTATAATATTTGACGTTTGACATGATAATTTTTCTGGATTACACTAATTATTTTACAAGATATAAAGATTGGCATGAAATTGATTTAAGATAATTACTTAGTAACTTCGTTCCAAACAGATCTTTGTAGATTTGGTTTGTTTGTCTCCAAAACGTTTGTTAAATATAAATATAAGTTTTAAAAACATTTTCCTCTACAGCTGTTCTTGATTATGATCAGTCTAAAATATGCAGTCACAGTTTTACATTTCACAAACCCGTGGTTTTTCAGCCATTTATTTTTGAAAATCGTTAAAATCGTATGACATTATAAATACAAGACTTAAAATAAGTCAATCAATGCAATTCTACATTAAAAAAAAATAATTTAATGTTTTTGAAAAAATTTTTAGGGGGGGGGGGGGAGAATATCTGTCATTTTTTTTTTTTAAATCCATTGTCATATTAACTTAATTTAATGTTATATACTTTGATTCTGTCCCGGAAGCCTAGAGCTTTGAGATTCGCTTTATCATAACGTAAACTCACGCGCACGCACGTGCATGCGATTGCGCGCAAAATGACCTTCGTTCCGCACACCTACACTACACACCTATTAACCCTAAAAAGGTTTTAACTTAAGTCTGAAAAAAATATTATAAAGATGTTGGTGTAAAGATTAATTGAATTTCTAGCAAGGTTACTATTCGTTATTATTGCCATTACATTTGATTTAGTTCACATGCAACTTTTGTAACAATCTGTTTTAATTGAAATTCATGTTATGCTCTTTAAAGATAATTGCCAAAACTTACTTTAACTCATTTTTCGAGTTATATAAATAAATTGATCATGATTATGACTTAACTTGTAGATACAATGCTTATTTTCATCCAAACAGCGTGTTATAGCAAATTTAAGGTTTACAATATGTGGCTTGCTTATAAAAACATCAATAATTACATAATATAAATAATCAAATATGGAGATATGAACAGGAATCAAGCTCATTATCAATGTGCATTAAATGAAACATGACAAATTGAAATTAAAAGAAACACGGACCTCCTAGGAATCAGTGGTGGGATCACATACCATGGAGGAGTGAGCAATCGCTGCCGACCGGTCACACTCAACATGAGCTTTGTGACATGATCAGGGAAAAATTCTGACGATTCAGTATGTATTGAATGGCCTTACAATTAGTATAAATAAAGTCAGTCAGCATTTGACATAATGATAAATTGTATTTGCTAACAAGGTCATTGTATCGACAATATATAGAACTTACAAAAACAAGAGGCCCAGGGGCCACAGCGCTCACCTGAGCACATCAGCTAGGAAAAAGCACATATCATGGTTTGGACAAATTAGAACCTACACTACCTGAGGATAATTATACATAAATATTACTAATCAGGGCAGAACTACCCTACATATTCCTGAGAATTAATTTTTGGTCGGCCATTTTGGCTCAATCCTACCCCCGGGGGTCATGATTTGAGCAAACTTGAATCTACACTATCTGAGGATGATTCCACATGAGTTTCATCTTTTCTGGCTATGTGGTTCTTGAGAAAAAGATTTTTAAATATTATTCCTATATACTCCTATGTATAACTTTGATCGGCCAATTTGGCCCCACCCTACCCCCGGGGGTCATGATTTGAATAAACTAGAATCAAAACTATCTGAGGATGATTCCACATGAGTTTCATCTTTCCTGGCCATGTGGTTCTTGAGAAGAAGATTTTTAAAGATTTTTCCTATATATTCCTATGTAAAACTTGGGTCGGCCATTTTGGCCCCACCCTACCCCCGGAGGTCATGATTTGAACAAACTTGAATCTAAACTATCTGAGAATGATTCCACATGAGTTTCTTCTTTCCTGGTCCAGTCGTTCTTGAGAAGAAGATTTTTTAAAAATGGCATTAATTTTTCTCAAATTCATAATTATCTCCCCTTGGAAAAGGGTGTGGTACTTCATTTGTATCCAAGGATACTTTGTTGCAAGTTTTGTTGAAATTGGCCTAGTGGTTCTTGAGAAGAAGATGAATATGTGAAAAGTTTTCGACAACGCCAATGACAACAATGACAACGACAGCGACAGTCAACGGACAAATTTTTATCAGAAAAGCTCACTTGAGCCTTCGGCTCAGGTGAGCTAATGATGACTCTAAATGAGACTGCTGATATTCTTGTTTCAGCAACTAGTTTGTCAATAATTAACCCCATTGTAGAAATTACATGCTGATTCAATAAATATTGTCGAATTGAAGGTCATAGTCAGCGTTATCTTTTTTATGTTGATATTTAAAATAAATTTTGCCTCATAGGAATATATAAAAACCAGGGTCAGGTAATAAAAAAAACACTTTTAATACCAATCGGTGCAGCAGTTTGTTAAAAAACCAGGTCTCCGAACACTACATACAAAGTAATTATTATATATTATTATCATTTTTATCAAAGAAACACTTGTCTATGATATCAAAAGACTAGTTTTTAATTAATTATGACGAATTGTTATATAAAATGAAGAAAGGTCGTAGGGATTGATTTTATGCACTTTTAAGAAAATATGTTTATAGGTAAATTTTAAAAATGGTTTTGTGGACCCACCTTTGATTTCATACGAAGCAGGATCGATTTGTGCAAAATCATGCGTGAAAGAAGAAAACATTTGCTGTGGTCTTCAACTCGACATTCAGATGTATCGACGACGCATTGTCAATTAACAATGGTAATTTCCATTCCTACGTCCATGCGATATATCCATGAGAGCTTGAGATAAAAGATATCACAGAATCTGACACATCTTTTTCAGACTTGGATATTTTACTTGATAGTAACCTAACAACCAAGTTATATGATAAACGTGACGACTTTAACTTTTCTATCGTCAACTTCCCTTACTTATGCAGCAATATACCTTCATCACCTGCATACGGAGTGTAATTTAAATACGTCAGAAGTTTGTAGTTTACAGCAATAGTTATTCCTTAGAGTTAAGGTAAGAGCTTGGTAGAGCATTAGCTTGACTCAATGTTTCCTTGTTTTATAGAGTTGTTTTTTAAGGTTCATAAACCCTCTGCTCACTCATATGAATTTTTTCTATAACTATGATTTTTCAAAGGAAATGTATACGCTGAATAAAATACAAGCAACTATAACATGGCTTGCAGGGTAAAATTTGACAAAAAAGGCATTTAAACTTGACAAATTTATAAAGGAATAATAGACATTTGTGTCATTTAGAGTTATCTCTCATATCAGAGTATCAATGTACCTTAAGTTTAGAATTCTATAAAGAAAGAAAGACTCTTCTTGTTTAACTGGTATGTTCAAAAATATAAACAAAGTAATAATTTTTTTTCCTTAGAAAGAGAACTGTGAGTAAATGTTAGATTTCCACGAAGAATAAAAAATAACTTCTTCTCAAATACAGTTTAAGAAAGATCCTACAAACAAGGACGACATTGTTGTCTGCTGGAAACATACTTTACGTTTATATAATCTGTTGAACTCTTTTATCATTTCTTATTTAGTGTAAAAGGAGTGTGCATTTTGCCATTTAATTTTCTGATACAAATCGTTTGTACATTGTAGAACGACAAAATCAAACTAATTTTCATTTCACTTTGTTCGCGATTTATCATTTCTCGCGAAATTAAACCCACCGTGAATGCTTTCATTGATTAAAAAAACGTTTCAATGTTTATATAAATCTCATAATTATTTCTTGCAGCGTGAAAATAAAACCTTTGCGATTGTTACTTTTTAATAAATCGCAAAGTTTAAGCGTCTTTGAATTTGGACGACTTACAGTATTACGCTGCCCAGAGAATATTGCAGTGTGCGATCCTCCTTCTCTAATCTGAACTGCAAATGATAATTGAAATTGACATCAAGTCACAGATAATCCTATATATTATTATATATATTTAAGATACGACTAAATTCATTCCTTTTTCTTCAAAAACATTCCTTGTTGTATCAAAAAAGTTAGCGACTATACAAGGAAAAGCTAAACACGTAAAGTACTGGTATTCAGAGATTGTGTAAGAGCAAAACAATACCTGTATTTACTGCTTACCAACTACAATTTACTGTAAATGCGGAAGAAATGAACGCCAACGTTTCGATAAAATTCAAGCGCAAAAAAAACCTGATTTGTCTTTAAATAAAACATACATCATTACAGTTCATCGAATATAGAATATGTTTTAGGAGTTACCCAGTTCTTAAGATCATGCCAAAAATCCAACACACGATGTTATTTTTTTTGACTGGTTTGTATTATCGTTTTCATTTATCACAAAATTCTCTCTTTCGATTCTATCTCTTTTATTTTTACTCCCTCTTTTACATTTTAATTTCATTTTCAGGTATTTACTCCATATCTGAAGTTTTCTGCTCTTGGGAGACGTGTTCAGAAAACGGAATTGCATATACATTTGAAGAACAGAAAGTTAATTGGGATAAAGCAGCTGGGCAATGCGAAGATGCCGGTGGATCTTTAGCTATTATTCGGTCGAGATTTGATAAGAATTGTGTCGTCAGTAAGTAAATACTGCTACTAGTATTTATAATGAAAACGTTTGTATTACAAAGGATATGTTTTGTAGTGGAAGGAGACGAACTTAAAAAAACAATTTTAATTCGAGATTTTTTTCAAATTGCAGAAAACCTAAATCAAAGTGTTGGTTCCTATTATATTGGAGGTTCAAAATCCTCTTCTTCTGGACTTTGGACATGGATGGATGACACTCCAGTTCCTAAGCCGGGATACTGGGAGAAAGGTAATATATATTTTGCTAATTTCGAGTTTATCAACTGATTATTTACCTGAATACATTTGCTGTCGAATCCATGAGATACTGTGGTGCTATCAGGTGTTGATGAGCTTATTCTTTATCCCTGGTGTCGGTGTTGGTGTTAGTTACGGCGTAAGAGTAAAATGTTTTCAATTGTCTAAAAGTTCGTTGGAATCTTTAAGTATCCACATCTAATTTACACCACTTCTTGGAAATAGTGTTGCACAGTACTCTTGAAGTTCCTATAAAAAATTAACAAATCATTTTGATGTACATGACTTTGAATAAATATTATCTTCATTTTTAAAAACATTTTGTATTTTTTTTGTATGTCAACAGCAACGATGCATATGTTATGATTTGTATTAACGATTGGAAAATAATTTTTCGAATGTACTCAAGCCCATTCTTAGGTCTTAGGGCGGCCGTCAGATACTTAGGACGATTAAACACAACCTGCTGTATTCCTATATATTGTTCAGATAGACAGAATATTTAGAAATTTGAAAAAAAACAAACAGTTTGAAAAACGTAAAGAAATATTGGGATCCATAGATAGGTTATACATGTTAACAACATCATAATAACAATCGAAGAATTCAATTTATGAAATGGCGACATTAAAGATGTTTTGATGAAAATCTGCTACATTAACTTAGTTGTCACTAGCCCTCTTCCCTTTTTTTAAATAGGTGTCGACAGATCATAATATAACGATTCGAATAATTTGGGACATATCTAAGTTTTTTTTCTGACGTAGTTTGCATATGAGTCAATGGCTTAAAATTTTCAACTCGAAATAAAATTGAAATTGAAACACTTCAATTAAAATTGTTAACTCTTTAAATATAGAAATACATATATTAGACCCGATACACATTTAAATACAAGGTAAAATATCATAATTTGGAACATTTAAAATTGGGATTCAGATTTCATTATTTACTACATGTATCATTTATGTTTTTCCACGAGTATAACCTGATAAAATAATCAAGTATTTCACAGACGAACCAAACAATTCCGGAGGAATTGAAGATTGCTTAGAGTTTCGGTTGTATGATTTATTTTTGGAACGACGTATCCTGCAGTGAGAGGAGTGCTTACGTTTGTCAAAGTGGGTACCGTCATTAGGATTTTCTAGTAGTAAACAAAAGGTTCATTTTCTTCTTTTCTGAGAAGTTATATAGGACAATTTTGCAAAATAATTTAATCCTCTTTTGAAGGAATAAAAGAAAAACCCATTCTTTTTTTTATTTCTTAGGCTTAGACAAACATTAAGAAAGATATAATAACCTATTTTAAAAGCATAACTTTGTCACCTACAGAACATATATACACTCTTCTGTTTACGAAGTTTCTTTTATCAAATTATCTAACAAGCAAGCTCAGTGATAAACGTGATGACTAACTTTTCTATCGTCAATTTCCCTTACTTATGCAGCAATATACCTTCATCACCTGCATATGGAATTAATATATCTCAGTTGATTCGATACGCATAATTTACGGATGAACAATTTCTAAAATGAGGTAAAATATTGTCAATCAAGTTGATGAAACAAGGATTTCAGCAGTCTCGTTTAAAGTCATCATTTCGTAAATTCTATGGTCGATAAAATGCATGACCTTAACAGATATATAATTTTTCATTGAGTCAAATGCTGACGTCTTCCACACTTATTGTTAGTCCATTATTTATAAACTGAATTTGCGACTAACTATTTCTATAGTAAAAACACAAGTTTTACCAAAATTTTAGAGGTATTTCTCTTTGTTTTCCAAAATAAGTATTGTTTTATGAAAATCCATACAATTATCTATAAGAAAATAAAAAAATTATCGAATATGTTAACTTTTAAAAATTGACTTTGAGGTAGGCGGGAGAACAATACTATTGTTCGCAGTTCTTCCATTCTTTATGCAGCAATATACCTTCAACATAATCACCAGTATGTATACAGGATTTATATCTCTCAATTGATTCGATCAGCAAGATCATGTTCTATGAAATGATAAATAGGTTATTGATAGGCAAGCTTAAGTCGACGAAACTAGAAAATCACCAGTCTCGTTTATAGTCATCATTTTGTAAGTTTTGGTCGACACAATGACTTTGTCAGCATATGCAGTTAATAATTGAGTTAAAAGCTAGCTGACGTTTTACATACTAATTGGATGATTATAGCGAGCGCAGCGAGGCGGTGCAAAGTGCCGCTCGTGTAGCGAGCTCAATAGACAAACGTGTACGAACAGAGGAAATTCAGGTTGACATCTGCACATTGTTCCAAGAAATTTTATGAGTCCATGTGAAAAAATTCCAAACTCCAAATAATCCCATGCGGTACATAGCAACACGGACATGGTGGATTAAACATAGCAACAACTTACTAGAAAAAAAATAGAAACAACGATTTAATGCAATCTCCATGCCATTAATATATATCGTTTGCGTCCTAAGTCAACACAACTTTTTATCTGACGTCATACTTTTGTCACTTTAACGGTTAGGGTATTTCCGATTTTGTCGGAAACGTCCAAGAAATTTTGAATCTGTATCCCGATGCTTTGGAAGTGATTTCTTTTTGTTTTCTTTTTTCTTTCTTATTCTTGAATGATAGGCAGTACATGCATAGGTTTATGATAGTACGTAACTGCGCACGCCCCAACGGTCACACCGTAAACATATTAATTTAGACACTGAATTGTTGAAAAATTTTCCGTTATTTTCCGGTGATGACAATGTGCACACGGCGAGTGTGACCAGTCGGCAAAAGATGATCACTTCTCTATGGTACCTGATTCCACCCCTGATGTTTTGGAAGTCCATATTTGCTTTGCTTCAAAGTTGTATTGTTTGATAATTTTTTTTAGCTCATATGCTGTTCGTTATCTCCGTATGTTTCATGATTAACTTTAAAGATGTTATTTAAGAAACACTATAGGTAAATACACATAACTTTGTGAATTTTGAGTCATCTCAGTCATTTTCAATCACGCAATACCTGATTTTCAGAACCTTTGGCTCGGACTACCTTCAATAAAAACTTTTAAGATTCAAAGGAAAACACAAGTACAACCATTTCTTAACTGTAATGATGATTTTTTCGCCTTTAGTAATTTTTCTGTGTTATTTTATGTTTTGTTTCCAGTTATTACTTAGACCACAGAATCAGCGTTAATGGTAACCCAAAATCAAACAACACTGGATGAAGAGTCGTCCATAAAACACAATGATAATAATGATGTCTAACTGGACCCCATATATTATTGTCCCCCGCTTTCGCGAAAGCGAGGGGACATTAAATCTCTTTGGTGTGTCCGTCAATCCGTTTGTCCGTCTAGCTGTCTAGCTGTCCGTCCGTCACAAAAACTGTAACTTTGCCCATAACTTTTTATTTAGTGGAGCTATAACTTTCATATTTCATATCTGCAGCCCTTGTGACAAAACCTTTTTTTGGTACCACCACATCTGACCTTGACATTTGAGTTTGACCCACTTTTACATAAAAATTCCAAACTTTACTCTAGCTATAACTTTTGAATGGTAGATACTAGGACTTTCATATTTCACACATGTATTTTTATGGCAAGACCTTTTATTGGATACAAAAAACCTTGACCTATTAACCTTGACCTAGGAGATCTACATGCTTATGAAAAACTTTAACCTTGACCATAACTTTTGAACTGTAAAGTTTTAGGCTTTTGTACTTCAAATATGTCATTCTTGTGAAAAGAACTTTCATTGGATACCCTTTGACCTTGACTTTGGAGTTAAACTACTTTTTAAAACTTTAACCTTGGTCACAACTTTTGAACGGTAGATAGTAGGTCTTCCATATTTCATATATGTATTTATTGTGGCAAGATCTTTTATCGGATACCAACAACTTTGACATTTTGACCTTGACCTTTGAGATTTACGTACTTAAAAAAAACTTTAACTTTGACCACAACTTTTGCACGGTAAGGGTTAGGGCTTTCGTACTTAACATATGTATTCTTTGTGAAAAAACCTTTCATTGGATACCAAGAACTTTGACCTTTTGACCTTGACCTTGGAGTTTTAACTACTTTTTAAAACTTTAACCTTGGCCACATCTTTGAACGGTAGATAGTAGGATTTCCATATTTCATATATGTATTCTTTGTGGCAAGTCCTTTCATTGGATACCAACAACTTTGACCTTTTGACCTTTGAGTTTTGCGTACTTATAAAAACTTTAACCTTGACCACAACTTTTTCACGGTAAGGGTTAGGGCTTTCGTACTCAACATATTTAATCCTTGTGAGAATCATTGGATACCAAGAACTTTGACCCATTGACCTTGGAACTTTAACTACTTTTTAAAAAACTTAAACCCTGGCCACAACTTTGAGCAGTAGATACTAGGACTTTCATATTTCACATATATATTCTTTGTGGCAAGACCTTTCATTGGATACCAACACCATTGACGTTTTGAACTTGACCTTGGAGATTGACGAACTTATGAAAAAACTATATCCTAGACCATAACTTTTGAATGGTAAGAGCAAGGGCTTTTATACTTCACATATGTATTCCTTGTGAGAAGACTTTTAATGTATACCAAGAACCTTTACCTTTTCACCTTGACTATGGAGTTGAACTACTTTTAAAAAATCTTTATCCTTGGCCTTGACTTTTGAACGGTTAGAGTTAAGGTTATCACCTTCACATATGTATTACTTGTGACAAGACCTTTCTTAAGAATCAACATCTCAGGCCCTTTCACCTTGGAGTTTGGCCTACCTTTTAAAAATTTATTCTCAACTATAACTTTTGAAGAGGAGGTGCTATGGATTTTGTATTTCACAATCGTATTTCTTGTGAGGTCGTTCGCGTGGCGCAGTGGTTAGAGCGTCTGCTCTAGAGTCGCGAAGTAAGGAGTCAATCCTTACGTCGCGGGTTGGAATCCCATTGTGCGACTTGGAGACCGGTCCTTCGGATAAGACCGTATAAACCGAGGCCACGTATCGCAGTAGGTGCTGGCACGAAAAACACCCCTCGCCGCGCAATGGCCGCGAATGCCGAGTATAGGACAAAATTTGTAGCCGTCCACCGGCAAGTGGTGGCGTCTCCATATGAGTGAAAAATTCTCGAGAGGTACGTTAAACAATATACAATCAATCAATTATATTTCTTGTGAGAAAAACCCAAGTTTGGGTAATAATGTATTTAATTTGCATTTAAGAAAAGTTTAATCTTCGTTATGCTGCCATACGGGGTCATCACAAACACATCTTGTTCCTTATATTGAACAGAGATAGGGTTTTCATATCAACATATTTGACATGTGCATAACCTGTGACAAGATATTAAGGAGTGTTCTATGATTTCTTACCACTTGACCTTTACCTTCACAATTGAACTTATTTTTTAAGAAAATCAATTTTAATGATAATTTCTTAATAAATGACATATGATAGGGTGTTCATATTAGACACAATATGTCATAAAAATAACATCTCATCCACAAAGACTCCGAAATTGGGGGACCAAAATTCTTTGGATTTTGCTAATTAAAATTACAAAATACCACTTTCAATAAACATAATAGTATATCCATCCGTCAAATATTATTCATTCACAAATCCTTTATTGTCCACCGCTTTCTCGAAAGCGAGGGGATATTAAATTTCATTCGTCTGTCCGTAAGTCTTTCTAGCTGTCCGTCCGTCACAAAAACTTTAACCTTGCCCATAACTTTTGATTTAGTGGAGCTATGAACTTTAGAATGTTTAAAACTAAGACTTTCATATTTGAAATATATTTTTTTGTAGGAAAACCTTTCATTGGATACCAACAACTTTGATTTTTTGACTTTGACCTTGGAGTACTTAAGAAAAAACTTTAACCTTGACCATAACTTTAAATGGTAAGGGCTAGGGCTTTTATACTTCATATATGGTATCCTTGTGAAAAGACCTTTCATTGGATACAAAGAACTTTGACCCTTTGACCTTGGAGTTTAAACTACTATTTAAAAAATGTAACCTTGGTCACAACTTTTGAACAGTAGATACTAGGACTTTCATATTTCACATTTGTACTTTTTTTTTGGCAAGACCTTTCATTGGATACCAATAACTCTGACCTTGACCTTGTAGATATACATACTTATGAAAAAACTTTAACCTTGACCATATCTTTTGAATGGTAAGGGCTAGGGCTTTTTTACTTCACATATGTCATCCTTGTGAGGAGATCTTTCACTGGATACCAA